AAATTACTCATTTTCTTATCGTCATATATTGTACCTTTTAATTACATTTATCAGATTATAGTTAAGTACTATTCTATATAAAATATATCGATTACAATTATGAATAAACATGAAGATTTCAGAGCTTTCTATTACATCAATAAATTATCTCCCTTGCCAACATTGATTTGGAGTGCTTTCTTTGTGAATTAGCAGATCTGATTTTAGAAAAAAAGAAGAAATTCAAAAACACACAAAAGACTTTTATATTTTTTTTAATATTTTAACAAAAATGAAATTTTCCCCAAAATTATTCAGCCGAACTTCACCAAAACATAATATTGCACATCTACATTGTTGACGGACAGACAGATGGACAACATGAAAACTATAGGACTCCGCATCTCTCGATGCGGGCCCTAATTAATATTAAATTTAAAATTCTATGAAGTGCTGTCCCTAGAGAGTAACATTGGTAATACATGAACTACATAAAATTTCACAAGTTTGGGCATCATGTCGGTGACAAAGATAGCATCAAACATAATTCGCTCAATACATATTTTATTCATTTTTGCCTCAGTCCACACAACAAAGTCACACCATGGTAAACCCATAACAGCCATTTCCCCTTGCACCTGAGCATAATACATATGGTCTCTCTTAAGAGCTGGTCCAGAGTCGGTCTCTTCTTAACAAAAAGAGGGCTCCTGGAGATCCAAAATGGCTAAAATTTCCATTTCATTTACCAGCTTCTTTTTCAAGGAAAAGGGACATTTCACCTCCAGTATCCCTTCTTCCCCATCTTCTGAAACACGCCCATCACTAGATGCACCTAAAAATGTGTGGATGCTGTAAAGTGTAAGACCTGTTTCCTTCACATTAACTTCAGATGCAGTAGCCTCTTTCATCATCAGGTAATCAGTAATGGCGTCTTTCTCGTGATCTACACCCCAATGTACAGCAACTGGCAAAGATGTGTACCTGTATGATTGAAATAACATTTGACCTTATTATGACACATTGTGTGATTTCATTTTGTTTAATTAATTAACTTCCTTTAAAAGTTATGAACCTTCCAGACAAATGTGTAAAGGTAGAATATGTACACCTATTGCTATTAATAATTGCAATCTAATTAATATTATATCTAACATATTGCAACAAAAAAATGTAAGCATATTTCTTTAAAAGTTGCAGGGGAGATAATTTGTAACCAGTTTGACTTTTCTCACACTATACTGACCTTGTTTTAGTAATTTAGGAGGAGATAATTCTTAAAATTTCAAGCACTGCAAGGTCCTTAAATATGTGACGCTTGCTCCCATAATATAGTGAAAATGTAGGATTTAAACATTAAATAAGGAAAATTGTTTTTAAATATTAAACCTGCATCAAATTTTGTTGACCACTCATTGAAAAATGATTTTCATGACAGAAACTATTAATTGAAACGATTCTCTTTCCCTTTTTTTACCAATCAAAAATGTAAAGAAGTAGAAATCAAACTGGTTGGTCTGTGCTAAAAGATTAAATTAAAATACCTGTCAAGGGAAGATCCTTCAATGATTTGCTTAATCAAACTGTTAGGATTGCTACCAGCTTTCAGAACCTGTCCAAGCAAAGAGCTAGTTATTCTGCCTTTGTGAAGATTAAGCCACATTGCTGACTTTCTTTGACCTCTTGTTGACTCCTCTAAATAAGTCACTAACTCCTCATCTATAGAGAGAACAGGAACTGAAAAATAATATAATGTTTTTTATAATATCATTATGTACTAGTATTCACAAAGTAGAAATGGATTGTGTCTGCATGAGTTCAAGCTATCAAGATTTAACTATTGAAATGCATTGAATTTGTTAAAAAAACACAGTTATAGTTGATGTATGGGATTTATTGACTTTGTTGATTTGCACATCTGCAGACTGTTAGGACAATTCTCCATGCAAGTGTATTTTGCTAGATGTTGAATAAAAAACAACAATCAAAGGGTTGTTCCAACAAAAATGCACATGATATAATAATGCACCTGTTTCTTGATCATTTTTTTTTTCTTATTTCCACATCTTTCAAAATACAACAGCTATGCAAACTAGATATTTATACTTTATGCTTTATACCATGATTGACAGCAAACACCATCATTTTCATCCGATTGTATATTTGGTCAACTTCTGTCTCAACAACTTCTTCATGTACAAGATCTGGTACTTCATCTGGAATCTTCCAAAAGTGACTCATCCCTAAAATGTAAAAAAGTAATGTTTACATTAACGATTCCTCCTGATAAGCCCAACAAAATATGTGTTTTATGTAATATACTATAGTGTTGAAACTGTTTGAATGGAATTTCGTAATTGATTGTGTGCCTGAATTGATTTTTTTTAAAGTTTTTATTTTAAATTTAAAACTGCAAATTAAATATTTAAATTAATAGATACGATTAATTGTATGGTCAAAAATGAAAGAAAGATACATATATTAGTCCTTGTATGATTATCATAGATTTAATGTTATGAAATATTAAATAAGTTAATAAATTACTTTTTTAAATCAGGACAATTGATTGTTTATATAAACCTTCAGAAATAAATCAACTAAGAATGACCACAAGAACCAAGATTGATACCATATGCAAGTTTATCAGAAATGTTTAAAAACCTGTGTTCGGGAAGATTTTCTTCAATTCCTTCAGCTCAGCCAGGGTATCAGAAATGTCAAATACTCTGTCCTTTGGATGGCGAGGATCATAGTCTACTGATCGGACTTTTGGATCTTCAACAAGCTTTGGTTTGTTAAAACATAATGCACTAACAGGCTTTGGGATCTGTTGAGCACTCCTAGGCACAATCCAGTTGCACAACTTTGATGTGCAGCTTTCAGCTGAGTCTCCAGCAAGTGCTTAAAGCCTGTATTTGCCGTTTAAGGCAAATAAAACTCCACCAATATGGCTACATGACTGGGCAAAACTGAAATAGTTATATACATGTTATTTATGCAGAGAAGGTGTTTTTCCCCCAGATATATACACGTAGTTACACAACATGCAGGATTGTAATTGGTAATTGGATATAAGACAATATTTCAATAATATAGCAGAAATAAATTTAAGTATATATATAAATTTCTTTGGACTAATATGTGTGTGATATTCAAATCAATAAATATATTTATATCTAAAATTCCCTGACATGTGTATATGCATATATACATAATCCCATTAATTATTAATCATAACTAAGGAAGATGTTTGTACTGTGTATATAATTACATATCAAAATCAACATTTTCTACACTAGATAGCCAGATGATTTTATTACGTTTTGCTATGCTAGATAACATATAATTTCTTTCATCCTTAAAGTATAAATATATAGTCTTTCACAAAATAAATTGCACTTAATATACTGTTGAGCCAAATTTCATAGTTATGTAATTTTATCAAACCTTTATAATGCAATTTTCCACCAAGAGAAGGAGCTTTATTCTTTAAAATACTTACCCAATGGGACACTGACAATAAGCATACTGTACAGAGCATCTTTCATTGGTTATCATACACAAATATACAGTATATTTGTCCTTTTTCATGGAGGCTAAACACGAAGCCATGACATAAACTACATTATCTCCAATCTGAAATAAAATTAATTCATATTTAAAGTCTAACTTGTTATATGTTATAACTCATTTATATGTTATAACTTATTGCAATCAACATTTATAAGACTTTTACTTGTGTACCCAGTATTAATACAAAGCCCAGTCATTTTCTATAATTCAAAGAAATGATAGAAATACAGTAGCTGCTTGGCAAAAAAATGCAGAAAAAGGGGGTACTCAAATGAACAGAAACCATTTATAACACTTAAAGTAATGATTTAAACTTACCCGTGATATTGTCATGTCCTGTATGTCGCCAGCATCAAAGTGACGAACAGCCCTGTCCATCCCCTTAAAATTCTTCACCGACACTCCCACATCACCGGCTTCGACATTGTCATGTACAGACTTCCTGGACCTTTCAACCATGAAGTTGTAGATTGCAAGGAAGGAAGGGCATGGCAATTCAGTAACTGAAACTACTGAATACCTAACCCGATTGAAAGGTGGTAGGTTTTCTGTCCCCTCTAAAACACTGACTGACGGAAATAAAGCAGTCACATTAGTTTCTTGGCGAATCACAGGAGTAATGATGTCAATCGGTACAGAGCTTGTGATTACTTGCCCAATCAAGTCTTCTTTTCTTTTCCCCTTTGAATCTATTCCAACCTCTTCATATAATTTCTGTATTGAGGACTTCGACAATTTCTTCAAACTTTCGCGGGTCGCCATGATGGTTGCGTAGGACGCTACAGACGACTTCATCGCGGAAGTAGTCATGCGCATGTCTGGGAATTAGCGTGAACTGGTTTAGTGGCTGTGTGTTCCACCTTTGCAGCATTCATAATTGTTTTTACATAACTACACTATTAATATCATTTTTGTCTGGAAATCTTACCAGATAATAGCAGCAAACGGCAAAATTGCAGTAAAAACCCATTAAAAATGGCGCTCTGTATTGTTGTCAAGCATGACGTCATAACAACTTGGCGTTAAAAAAAATACAATACACATTCCCGCGCTTTTCTGATGTAGCAATATTTGCGTGACGAGATATGAAAAAGTGTAAGATACAGAAAAGTTCATGGTTTTCCCGTTCAATACGAGTTATTCATTTCACTTGTATAAAACGAATATGTGATAACAACCACAAAAACAGCGTCGGGCAAAATGTATCTTCGTAACAGTCTTGAAAAGTAATAACTGTTATTCAAGGGGGAGGGGCGGCACCGATTGACGTTTTTACCCGGAAGACGGTTGATATTTTATCCAGAGGTACATTGTCAATAGAAATATTTGTAATATAATCGCTGCTTCTCTTTCTCCGAAGATGACGTCATTACCTAATCGTTGACATTTAAACGCGCGTTTAAAAATGTACATTTGCGTGATGTGTGACAAATATAGAGTAACAACAGTGCTAAATGTAAAATTAATGCTATTAACAATATGTAAAGTAATTATAATTAAATAAATTCAAGTATGCAGGATCCGTCCCCTCTGTTTGACCGTCAGTCAGGGTACATTCGTGTAACCGGTTGAAACGGTTGAACCGATTGAACAGGCTGTATAGAAAACGACAGGCACAGATCTGTGAAATCTATATCTGTGTACATCATCCATACTAGCTGGTACCTATTTGTGTGCAATATCTATACAAAATACTGTGCTCGTCATATCGGAGAGACAATAAATGCTCGAACCCGACCCGGTTGACTTTGTCATTATTCAAGGACCCAACCCGGTTACTTTACCCGAATGCCTGTTCGAACTTACCCCATGGCGGGGCTCGTACCTGACCGAAACTAAAATGCTGACTATTGCTTGTTTGCGTTATTTCTTTTTAAAACAATGTCAAGCCACATGTAGTTATTACGATACGTCATGTAATTAAGTGGACGCATGAAAGAAGAGCATTCTATTCTTGATAAGTTGTTTTTTATTTTCCGAAACTGTGCATTTTTAGCTCTGCTTATAGAACAGTCCAAGTGCGTTCGTTTATCGTGGACTATTTCTGCGCCACACATACCGTGTCAACCGGGATACGCGAATGTAGCCTTAGACATTTTCATTAAAAAGGATTTGGTGTCCAGCAGCTTTGCTGCATTTTCTTGTATAATAAGTGTTGTTATAACTTTTCATTTATATTTGTTGCGTCTTCACCGTCTTGTCGTTTGCCAGTGGCACTTTTTTATTTGTTAATAACGTGCATATTTGTGCATAGTACATAATGCAGACAGCTCTGTTGATTTATTTCACAAATAAAGCTGTTTATTATTGATATGCTCTGTTGATTTATTACACAAATACAGCTGTTTATTATAGATATACTATGTTGATTTTTATACAAATAAAGCTGTTTATTATTGATATACTCTGTTGATTTATTACAAAAATAAAGCTGTTTATAATTGATATGCTCTGTTAATTTTTATACAAGTAAAGCTGTTTATTATTGATATACTCTGCTGATTTATTACACAAATAAAGCTATTTATTGTTGATATACTCTGTTGATTTATTACACAAATAATGCTGATTATTGTTGCTATACTCTGTTGATTTGTTACACAAATAAAGCTGTTTATTGTTGCTATACTCTGTTGATTTATTACACAAATAAAGCTGTTTATTATTGATATACTCTATTGATTTATTACAAATAAAGCTGTTTATTATTGATATACTCTATTGATTTATTACAAATAAAGCTGTTTATTATTGATATACTTTGTTGATTCTTGCTATACTCTGTTGATTTATTACACAAATAATGCTGTTTATTGTTGCTATGCTCTGTTGATTTTTATACAAATAAAGCTGTTTATTATTGATATGCTCTGTTGATTTTTCTACAAGTAAAGCTGTTCATTGTTGTTCTACTCTGTTGATTTATTACACAAATAAAGCTGTTTATTATTGATATGCTCTGTTGATTTTTATACAAGTAAAGCTGTTCATTGTTGTTCTACTCTGTTGATTTATTACACAAATAAAGCTGTTTATTATGGTTATACTATGTTGATGTTTATACAAATAAAGCTGTTTATTATTGCTATACTCTGTTGATTTATTACACAAATAATGCTGTTTATTATTGATATGCTCTGTTGATTTTTATACAAGTAAAGCTGTTCATTGTTGTTCTACTCTGTTGATTTATTACACAAATAATGCTGTTTATTATTGATATGCTCTGTTGATTTTTATACAAGTAAAGCTGTTCATTGTTGTTCTACTATGTTGATTTATTACACAAATAAAGCTGTTTATTATTGATATACTTTGTTGATTCTTGCTATACTCTGTTGATTTATTACACAAATATTACACAAATAAAGCTGTTTATTATGGTTATACTATGTTGATGTTTATACAAATAAAGCTGTTTATTATTGATATGCTCTGTTGATTTATTACAAATAAAGCTGTTTATTATTGATATACTCTGTTGATTGATTACACAAATAAAGCTGTTTATTATTGATATACTTTGTTGATTCTTGCTATACTCTGTTGCTGTTTATTATAGATATACTATGTTGATTTTTATACAAATAAAGCTGTTTATTATTGATGTGCTCTGTTAATTTTTATACAAGTAAAGCTGTTTATTATTGATATACTCTCCTGATTTATTACACAAATAAAGCTATTTATTATTGATATACTCTGTTGATTTATTACATAAATAGAGCTGTTTATTGTTGATGTACTCTGTTGATTTATTACACAAATAAAGCTGTTTATTATTGATATACTCTGTTGATTTGTTACACAAATAAAGCTGTTTATTGTTGCTATACTCTGTTGATTTATTACACAAATAATGCTGTTTATTGTTGCTATGCTCTGTTGATTTTTATACAAATAAAGCTGTTTATTATTGATATACTCTGTTGATTTCTTACACAAATAACGCTGTTTATTGTTGCTATACTCTGTTGATTTGTTACACAAATAAAGCTATTTATAATTGTTATACTCTGCTGATTTGTTACACAAATAAAGCTTTTATTATCGATATACTCTGTTGATTTTTTTACAAAAATAAAGCAGTTTATTATTGATATACTCTGTTGATTTATTACACAAATAAAGCTTTTTATCGTTGCTATACTCTTTTGATTTATTACACAAATAAAGCTGTTTATTGTTGCTTTACTCTGTTGATTTATTATACAAATATAGCTGTTTATTATTACTATACTCTGTTGATTTATTACACAAATAAAGCTGTTTATAATTGCTATACTCTGTTGATGTATTACACAAATAAAGCTGTTTATTATTGATATACTTTGTTGATTCTTGCTATACTCTGTTGATTTATTACACAAATAGAGTGTTTATTATTGATATACTCTGTTGATTTATTACAAATAAAGCTGTTTATTATTGATATACTCTGTTGATTTATTACAAATAAAGCTGTTTATTATTGATATACTTTGTTGACTCTTGCTATACTCTGTTGATTTATTACACAAATATAGCTGTTTATTATTGCTATACTCTGTTGATTTATTACACAAATAGAGCTGTTTATTATTGCTATACGCTGTTGATTTATTACCCAAATAAAGCTGTTTATTATTGCTATACTCTGTTGATTTATTACCCAAATAAAGCTGTTTATTGTTGCTATACTCTGTTGATTTATTACACAAATATAGCTGTTTATTATTGATATACTCTGTTGATTTATTACACAAATAAAGCTGTTTATTATTGCTATACTCTGTTGATTTATTACCCAAATAAAGCTGTTTATTATTGCTATACTCTGTTGATTTATTACCCAAATAAAGCTGTTTATTGTTGCTATACTCTGTTGATTTATTACACAAATAAGGCTGTTTATTATCGCTACCCTCTGTTGATTTATTACACAAATAAAGCTGTTTATTGTTGCTATACTCTGTTGATTAATTACACAAATAAAGCTGTTTATTGTTGCTTTACTCTGTTGATTTATTATACAAATATAGCTGTTTATTATTACTATACTCTGATGATTTATTACACAAATAAAGCTGATTATAATTGCTATACTCTGTTGATTTATTACACAAATAAAGCTGTTTATTATTAATATACTTTGTTGATTAATTACACAAATAAAGCTCCTTATTATTGATATACTTTGTTGATTCTTGCTATACTCTGTTGATTAATTACACAAATAAAGGTGCTTATTATTGATATACTCTGTTGATTTATCACACAAATAAAGCTGCTTATTATTGATATACTCTGTTGATTTATTACACAAATAAAGCTGCTTATTATTGATATACTCTGTTGATTTATTACATAAATAGAGCTGTTTATTGTTGATGTACTCTGTTGATTTATTACACAAATAAAGCTGTTTATACTTGATATACTCTGTTGATTTTTATACAAATAAAGCTGTTTATTATTGATATACTTTGTTGATTTATTACACAAATAAAGCTGTTTATTGTTGCTATACTCTGTTGATTTATTACACAAATATAGCTGTTTATTATTACTATACTCTGTTGATTTAATACACAAATAAAGCTGTTTATTATTGCTATACTCTGTTGATTTATTACAAAAATAAAGCTGTTTACTATTGGTATACTCTGTTGATTAATTACATAAATAACTTACGTGTTATGATTAATTGGCTTCAACCTGTTTATCTGATGCACTGCCAGGTATAAGAATAGTGTGTATCAGAGGGATGTCTGTTTTACACCTTTCTGATTTCTGTTATTTACATTAATATTGCTCCACGACATTTCAAACCATACAGAGTATCTTCATAACATGTCCTCCGTAAAACCTTTGGCATATAAGTTCTTGTTTAGGTACCCCTTTACCAAGTCGAACATCCAACGTTGTTGAAGTCGACGATGTGATATCGGTATTAGGAGAGGAAATCAAATGGTTGACAAGTCTTTTTTAAAAGTTCAAATTACTCATTATTTTTCTGAGTAGGAGACTTCTTGGTTTTTTATCGTGTTTTAAGCCTCCAATACCATTTTGTAAATGAATCATATTTACTCTCTTTTATGTTTCAAAGTAAGTAGATTTAGAATCCCGATTCTGTCTTGATAATTCAGTATTTGTTACCCCTTAAATGTTTGATACCACTCACAGAACGTTATTTTATTTTAACAGACATTTTATTCTGACAAGTCGTTTATTCGATTTTAAGTTAGTTGTGTGGGATGATTCAAATATCCTTTGATTTGTTTCCATTGTGATATTGATTCTCCTTTAACTTGTGTCTCTTAACAAAACTTGTGTGTTTGAAAACCTTTCGTATTTATCCATTCTTTTGTTATCTTTGATCAAACATATTGGTAAATCCATTATAAAATGACAGATGGAAGACAACTCTAAACGTAAGACCAAAATGTTCTCTTATGGAGTGCCAAGGGAAATAACTCACAACTGCTGCAAAGATCAAAGAGCCTGTGCTCGGTAAATGAGCAGGGTCAGGTACATGTATTATACGATGAATTACTTACCTGATCCCTAACCCTAACCCTAAATAGGAATAACCACAATCCTACAAGTGAATTCAGTCAGGATCACAAAAACGATTGTATGGACAGAGATAATGCATAAACAGTCCCACGAAGAACATTGCATACATGTTCGGAGCACTCATTAGTTTTATTTCGTAATTAAAATCTCTCATTGGAAGAATAAACAAATTTCAAATCATTTATCTTCAATTGTGTTGTGTTAAATTGTGCATAGTATCTTCCTTGCGATCTAATGTGTCTTTCTTAATCTCCCAAAGCACTGAATGTTTGTTTTAATTAGTCGTGCAGTACCGTTTAATTTCTTTGATCTTTTTTTTACTAGAAACAATGTATAACCGAGATCTGAGAATATTGATAGGGCGTTTATGAGTATTGCTAGATGCTTTTGTTTCCAGTGATGTATTATAGTAATAGTATCATCACGGGCAGTTGGTTTTGTACCAAATATTCGTGTAAATTTTGTTGCTTATTGACACGATCTGCAAATATGAACAGACCGGAGAGATTGTGAACTAGGCATTTACCAGCCATGTAAATGTAGGCGTTTTATTTTATTTACAAGATATCAAAATGTGACCTATGAAAGTCGGCGTTTCGGAATGAAATGCAACATTCTAGTACATACTGTACCTAAAGGTCGAAACACCTACCAAATTCAAAAGATATTAAATCTTATCTGTTTACGTCAGCATTTTTTATTCCTAAGCGCAGACGTTCTGTAGTTACTATATTACCTACATTCACACGATAACGACACGAACTGCTGTTTGTGTAGTATAGACTTTCATGGCATGATATATATATTTATAGATACTTATGAACGCCCAGAACGATCAGTTTCCGTTAATAAACGTCTTAGTGTAATTTTACAAATTAAATAAGTTTTCATTTATATGTTACGTTATGAACGTGTTAAAATACTCTCTTACTATCGTCATAGGTCCAAACATACATCTTTCATTGATTTACAGATCTCTGGGCTAGAATTGCTCTTGCCTGTGTACAGCATGCCCCTGTTTTGGGATCACTGAGTCTGAGACTAACCCTGGTGACTTTACAGCATGCCCCTGTTTTGGGATCACTAAGTCTAAGACTAACCCTGGTGACTTTACAGCATGCCATTGTTTCGAGATCACTGAGTCTGAGACTAACCCTGGTGACTTTACAGCATGCCCCTGTTTTGGGATCACTAAGTCTGAGACTAACCCTGGTGACTTTACAGCATGCCATTGTTTCGAGATCACTGAATCTGAGACTAACCCTGGCAACTTTACAGCATGCCATTGTTTCGAAATCACTGAGTCTTGGACTAACCCTGGCGAATGCACAGCATGCCATTGTTCAGGTAGCGTTGAATATGAAGCCGCTAGACCAACCCTATCGTGCATACAACATGCCGTTCTTTTTCTGAAGTCACAAGACAAACTTTATCGTGCAAATAGCATGCCACTGTTCCGGGAGCGAGGTGTCTGAGAGGGCTGTACTAATACCCTGGGGAAGCGAACAGTTCTAGTAGGGGACTCCGCCTTCTGTAAATTATCTTGTTTCACTTTAATCGCACGTTTGGCAAGTTCTGTCTCTATTTCATCAGCAATGTCCTTCCGTTTGATTTGTGTGAGGGCAGCCTTAAGATCGTCTACACTTGCCCTGTTGTGCATTCTACGCCACCTGGCCAGAGCCTGCTTGGCCTGCGTTTCCTGTATATCGCGCATGAACACACGCCCTATCTCGTCAATATCCATTCGGACGTTCTCGTCCCCGCGCGGCGGATAGAACGGAAGTGCCCGGTACAGCTTCGGCCATTCTCCGTCGATGTGAATGGAGACCACTCGAGATGCCCTCTCTAGCTTGTCTGCAATAAAATATATTTATTTTAGTAAACAGATATACTCTTTTGCTGATATGCAATGTTATTCGAGACATACAGGAACATGAAGACCATACACATGTGTTATGGTCACCGTCATTATCTCTGTGGGAGGTATGCTATTTTCTTGTTTGATATGAAGATCGGTGGCGTTGTTTCGTTTTCATTATCGTATTTCTTGCTTTAAGACGTGACATTTCTTGGATTTACAGTTGCATAACAGGTATCGTCGATAAAACAGAAGACACTTGTCCTTCCGGAACATCTATCTAATGTTTTGTTATATTTTCAAAGGGTTTTCATGGAGATTTTACATTTGTTCATATTTTGCCTTAAATTTATGGATTTTGAATTCGAATCACGTTTTTGTTGAAACATTGGTATGTTTCCTCCTTTTTCATAAGGCTGAATGCAAAAGTTGTATATCATCAACTTATAATTTTATTGTTTGCTTGTTCCCTTTTATGCAAATATGCAAACGCAGGTTATTGCGGTACAACGGTTATTGTCTAAAAACATAATTTACATATAATAAAGTGCGTGAACTGCTTTCAATTTGCCTCATTTTCTTGTCATAAATTTTTGTTTTAGTTAACCATTGGCTCGATCATGAACATTTCTTGGACTCGTTTCACAAATTTACGTATGAAATAGAATCACGTATAGGATCCACTTTTAAATTATTTGAACAGCCATCATCAAGGGAAGGTCAGTTGTATCTAACGTCACAACTAGGATGACGTCCACATATGGACCATAGTATTAATTAGCTAATATGTCTGCAATCTGACCCAATCACGGTTATATAATTCCAAAGATAGGTATGTTTCTATGTGAACAATTGACGCCTTTCTGATGTTTTAAAATTATTATTTGACTGTTTATGTCGGAAGACAACGCACTCAACAGGAGATACAAGTAGTTACATAAAACCAGGACTGCCGCCTCCCTGATTGAGAGGATTTTGTCTCCAGAAGTTTTCGCTATATGCGTTGGTTGGTTGTGATTTGGGTTATCACCAATTATCCTAGGCTACGGAAATATAAAAATCAGGCAGTGATATGAACCTATATCATCCGCTTACCAACGTAAGATCATTTATTTATTTTTATTGATTGCTTTTATTATTCATTTATTTATTTATCTTCATTTAGGTTTTCGTTTTCTTTTTTAATATAGTATGTAAATGTGAATATTAGCCCTACTATTGTCTCGGTATTTGTGTGTAGTGTGCATCGTCTACGAGATAACTATATAAGTACTGTGCGATACTTACCCACAACATTGCCAGCTCCCTTTCTCCGTTTTGTAAGAGCAGTGTTCTTACTGGTAAGAGGCATATTATAAAACAACTTCTTCAACACTTCAGGACTGGTCTTAAAACGAATGATTTCTCTCATTTTCACGATATTCATTTGTAGTCTTTCTTTCTCGAGCTCTGTCTTCCTTAGTTCCTTTCTGGCGGTTTTGTGTTCTTTTCGTAATCCCACAAGTTCGTCTTCTTTCTGGTTCTTTTTTTCACGTTTCAGTTGAAGGAAGTGGAGTTTTCGTTTCATATCCTCGTATTTCCTGTCTATTACCAGTCGCTTAGCTTTATAATCCTCCAGTTCTGTCAAATTCTGATCGAGTTTCTCTTTGTTGCCACGTGTTGGTTCATTATTTTTCATCTGTTCTCGACGGATTTCGCGGTACCCTATTTCTAGCTCAAGGTCTTTGAGCTCGTGACCAAGACTTTCCGACTGGCGCTTGACCATCTTTTCCTTAGATAGTAACCGTTTGAGTTCTGCTTCACTGTCATTGATGTCTCTCTTACAAACCTTTACTCTGTGGTCAAGATGAGAGGCCGTTAGCTGTAAATCACGGAGAATCTTACTGAAGTCATCGCGTCTCTTTTCGAGATCTTGTAGATCGTACAGAAGGAATGTCTGATAGCCGTGATCGGCTTGGATCCATTTCCGGACACCGATACAAGCGTTTCTGATATTTTCACACGCCCCTGGAAACATAACGAGTAAAGGTACATGCTTGCATTCGTATTTTTCTGCAAGGGCCCTTGGAATAGACCCTAACTCCTGCAAATGGATACCCTGTTTATCAAAGCGTTCCGCCATCTGTGTGATGTCATCCAAATTAATCTGAATTGCATTGGAATAATCCCGTCTTTGCTTCTCGTAGTTTGTCGCAGTTTCTAAAAATGAATCTCCGTCAGTTCCAACGAAACTCAAGCAGTACTTCTTCATGAAACATATGATAGTGTTTAGCGTTTCCTTAATGGAGGACAACCCCGTCTTCAGGTACGTAACTACTTTATCAATGACCTGCATGACGGCTTGCACAGAGGCCTTGTCGAATTTGACCTCCATAGTGGGATCTCCCATTGACCGTTCGTACAGGTCAAAAAGATTTTGTAGATTATCCTTACAGATCAGGTCCGCCACCTTAGCGAACTGCATAGTGTGTTCCAGAGCAGGCATCCATTGTTGGATCTCGTCCTCAATAGTACGCGTGCGGCCGTAAAAGGACGCTTGAACCTCTATTAGCTGGATTTCAATGTCCTTCAATGCAGTTTCCACGGCATGGTAGAAAGCGGACAGACTCTGTGGACGTTCCAGTAACAGTATGTCGACGGTCTGTCGCTTCCTGAAGAATTGAAGGCTAGTCTGGGGCGGCATTGTTGGTGATGTCTTCAGATCTTAGTCAAATATATATCACAGACAGTGGGATCAGTTGTATAGTATGGGGAACATTCCAAAAACAGAAGACTGTGTGATAATTTAAGTCGAAAGCGCTGTGAGCCAACTGGTAGACTAATAGATAAACATCTTCATCGGCACACCTTCGTGGCCCCAATTCAGGTTTTCTTTAGCCTGTCTGAAGATATATCACCTTGTGGGATTTTGGTTCGTTACGTGACCTAAAGAAAATACAAAAAGATCATGTTTGTATCATATGACGTACATGTCAAACCGCAAGATAACGTGAGAAAACAACGGAGCGTTCTTAAAGGATAACACAATTAAATGCAAGATGGTTAAGGTTATCCTGCCCGGCTTGACGATTCAAAATATAGTGCAAATAGTCAATGACGAATTCTCTTTGGTTACTTATGTGATTGTCCAATCAAAATAACAAATTGAGTAAGAAAAACTGTGGGGCCTAATTTCTTAAAGATTTTTCAAGTTTTTCAAATACGATTTTAATATTCACATTTGTGCCAACATCTAATAAATTTAAGTCGTTATTGAAATTCCACAGCATGTCTTCTGGAGTCGTTTTAATACGAAGTTGGTGAATTCTGATTTTGTGAGGAATATCAAACTATTTTCTATGGCACTTTTTAGAGCTGTTTTGCACTTGTATTGCGTCAATTTCACAACTTATAAATGTGAGCTTAATTCAATGAAACTAATTGTAAATTGACCATTTTCTGGTTATGATGATTTTGCTTCCAATATTTCAGGATACAATTAACAAAAAGTTTGAGATGATAGGGATTATGAAATGTATTCTGTATCTGTTGCTGTAGACAGGCGTGTGTAGTAAGCGAATTAGAAATCTAACGCTCGCGTGATGGAATTTAAAAGGCGTCACGATATATGCATTCTTGTAATTTTCCCAATACAGTATAACGAACGATCACTCAGTTGTTAAATATACTCGGTTTCAGGCTGAGGTCACTAAAATGTTAATAATGGGTGACTTAACGTGGTCATTGACCTATTGTTTTATTCTTCTGGATCAACGTAGACGGGTTAAAATGTAGACTATCGTTCAAGACGACAAATCAAGGTAGGGATACTAGCCTCTACCATCCAGATACCAGCCTCTACCATCCAGATATATAATAGCCTCTACCATCCAGACACTAGTCTCTACCATCCTGATACTAGCCTCTACCATGTTATATATACATGAGAGTTTTTCATAATTTGTTTTGTATATTTTAACTGAATTGTATTCATAACACTGGTGACGACATCAGACCCGATAGAAACTCTTAATTGGTAAAAGTTTCAATCCTTCGGCGATAGTTTTGAGGGTAGATAAATGCCCACGTGTTGAGAACACTGCTTGCCTCTCTCATTAGTTAGGTCACACATATAGCAAATCATGTTATGCACCATGTAGTGGAAGTAGATTTTGTGAGAGCTCACTCACTCACTTACATTTTATTATTTAATTCTACAAATATAGGAGTTGTTTTTATTTTGATAGATTTATACATGTTTACATTATAAAGATATTTTTGTGAACAAATATATATATATATATACAATATTAGGCAAGGTATTACGCATAGGTTTTTTAATACAATACTTGAAGCGGATCATCGTACTGGAGAAAGTCAAATTAAGCCTAAAGATTACCAGCAGGGATTACACTCGTTAGTAATCGATTTATCCTGGACCTAAGCTTGATTAGACTGTTTATTGATAATCAATGTAACTGGCGTACACTGCCGGTTGTTATATAAACCTCTGAAATACTTTAGACAAAACCTTACTATGATAGATATCATGTTTCATAGAGAGTGAAAATATGATTTAAAGAACGTTAATTAGACTAATTAATGATTTAGGAGGCACGGTAGTCTAGTGGTAGGACGTCGGGCTCGTGACCGAAGGCTACTCAGCTGTAAATGAGTTCGTGGTTGGGCAGTGCTAGAATTGTTGAATGCTAGCTGTGTGCTCCCCAGGGAGTTGAGAAAGGTATTGGCTGGTTGCAAAGGCCCTATAACCACGGATAATAATTTATAAACCGTTTTGAGACAACCTACGAACTAGGTTGTGATAAAGCGGTATATAAGAACCTCGAATTATTATTATTATCATATAAGTAAGGGCAGCTTTGAAAGGTGCGCATGTAATATATGTAAGGGATGTAACTCTAGATACTCAGTATAAGTTGGTCGTATGGCCCGTAAATCACTGCTGGTTCAATATCTACATAAAACATATTGATCTATCTGGCGATAAGTCAGTTCATGATTAATGGAAATGTCAATTGATCAAAATTGTGTTTACATGTCTGAAACGCTATACACATTCCAACAAAAGGTTCCATTTGCATGGCCCCGCTACACAGTCTGTTGACGCTAGGTGTCATTCAGTCCGTTGTTTATTAACCTTGTAAATGCCTAGTTACGTTATATGAGTGGACTGAATGTCTTATTTACCCCGCCGATTGTACCAATATTTGACTTAAATACTACAAACATCTTAACATGTCATACATCATCAATACCGGTTATATTTCCGTAGGACTATAATAATATCTAACGATGTTTTGTTTACTTTTTCCAAGTAAAGATTTACCACTTGTTCCTAGGCTTCGAGTCTTGATACTTTTCACACGTGCAACATTCCCACTGTGACCAGCCGTAGTCCTCGCACATTATACTAGGATTATTGTTATCCTTTGTATACAACCTTATCTCAGGATAACGCAATCACTTAACACCTATACAAGTGCAACTAATGGATACTTGATTTATAAGTAAATCTCATTAGAAATTTAGATATGTTGGTCATTTTTATGGCTTTTATTTACACACATATATATATATATATATATAGTGATACATAGTTTTAAATGTCCATGTGACGGTAAAAATATAAATAATCGGCCTGAAAGTATATACTAGTCTTCGTGTTTTGCTTTATTTATATATATATATATATATGCAGACCCGTGTTTCTATTTCCAGTGAGATTACACGTTGCTCACAGTGTATAAGATGTCGGGATGAACCCTTTATACAGGTGTAACGATGTCGTCATTGCTTAAGAGTGAGGTTACACGTTTTTTCACTAGATGTCAAGGTTGATCCTACAATACAGTTATATGTCACTGTCAGAAAGACGTTACACGTTTCTCTCTCGATGTCAGGGTACTTCTTAATTCTTTCAAATAAAAACAACATATATCAGACATAGACAAGTTGCAATCTAACAAGCATATTATAAATGTAAAGTCACTTTTAGAAGTTGGGTTGCTTAAAGACGCCATTAAGACTCTTCTTAGTGCATCCTTTAGATTGTAGCTATGTCTGAAATACCATTACGCGCGGTGCAGACAGTATAAAGCCAGGTTTGACAAGAGCGAAGACACTATGACCCTACGGAAATCCACAGACGATAGTAGGTGCTCTGTATGGTAAGTAGTAAGCGACAGAACGCATCAATCTAGTTAATCCCGAACTTACAAAATGCTCTAAAGTTGGGAATTAATTATTACATATAAACACATTAGGTCATGATTGGAGTAAGGGGACGGGGACGGACGGGGACGGGAGGGGACGGGGACAGAAGGGGACGAGGAGTGGACGGGAGGGGGACGGGACATCGCTCGTTAGTGATTCATTTTTGCTATATATTTTGTTTGGTCCGTGTCGATGGTAGTATAAAAACTACAGGTCTCACAATGTTTAATTTCAGTATTATCAACAACAACAAAAGTGAAAGTCATATCAAATTGTGTCTAGGATCCGGGACTTGTACCATACACTTTACCCATTTTCCCCGCGTCAATACACCCTCTAAGTTTAAAACCACGGAAATAAAACGAAAGCTTATAGAGTTACAAACAAATCTAGACTCGTCTTATAAATGCCATGTCATAAAACTCGTTAAAGATCTTATTTTTATTTAGTTTATAAATGAATGAACATAAATAATGTATTTATAAATGCAAATATGTACCGTTAGCCTGCATGGTAATATATATAATGTATACACCAGATAAAGTACAGGTATGTCTACACCCCTATACCCGTTCAGCCAGTCTGATACAGCTATCATCAATATTCATACCATTAAGGTGAAAAATACCAAACATTTTAACTGAAAATGCTTATCTACAAACAAATAACTTACCCACGGAGCCAGGAAACGTTCCCGATCTACGTTACATAGTCCCGAAGTCGACAGTGAAACCTGAGGAAATCACCTGTTAGGCGGCAATCAATATGTATCGAGTTAAATGCCAGAACAACTGGTAAATAATCGAAACTAATCTCTGTACACACAAATTATAAAAATCTACTTAAGCGCGGAATAATCCTTCAAAAATCGTTCCATTCATTCGGTACAATACCTGAATAAAATTGTATGCTGATTGTACGGAGGCCCATTCAAGCCTATCTGACCCATACATAATACATATTAAGTAAGTTATGGAAGCCAATTCACCTGACTCCCGAATATAAACCAGGTCTAGCCTATCTGATTCTTATATATACCTGTAAAGTAAGTTATAAATGCCGAGTCTAACTAACCCGACTCCTTTCTATGCCTGTAAAGATAGTTATAGAGGCCAGGTCTAACTTTCCTAACTTATACATTACCATGTAAAGTTATTTATGGAGGCCCAGTCTAACTTATATATACATGTAAAGTAAGTTACGGAGGCCCAGTCTAACATACCTGACACATATATATACATGTAAAGTTAGTTATGGAGGTCCAGTCTAACCTACCTCACTCCTGCATATACATGTAAAGTAAGTTACCGGGGCCCAGTCTAACCTACCTCACTCCTAAATATATATTTAAAGTTAGCTATGGAGGCACAGTCTAACAAATCTGACTCCTACATATACATGTAAAGTTAGTTATGGAGGCCCAGTCTAGCCTACCTGACACCTATATATACATGAAAAATAAGTTATTGAGGCCCAGTCTAACCTACCTCACTCCTAAATATATATTTAAAGTTAGTTATGGAGGCCCAGACTAGCATACCTCACTCCTATATATACATGTAAAGTAAGTTATGGAGACCCAGTCTACCCTAACTAACTCCTATATATACCTGTAAAGTTAGTTATGGAGGCCAAGTCTAACATACCTCACTCCTATAAATACATGTAAATTTAGTTATGGAGGCCCAGTCTAACATACCTCACTCCGTGAA